TTCAATACATTTGATAGATTAAAATTTAACACCTTTAAATTAAACAAATATATCAAATAAAATTCTTTCAATAAAAATAAATATCTGAAAATTAAATATTTTTGGGCTGAATATTTGCAAAGCTCCAGATGAGCCGTTTTTCGTCAGCAGCAGCTGTTGCGAAAAAATCAGATAAAAACTGACCTGTCTGAACGTCTCTCTGTATTCGTCAGATGACCTCGTGTGGAAATACGCCTCGACCAGATCAAAGTATTGACCACGCTTTCGGCGCAAATTCGACTGTTCGTGCCTTGCATTTGAAACCGCATAACCCTTGAACAAAGAAGAAAAGTAAATGCAGGTAAAGTTACCAAGGGTTTCGATTCGATATCTCTGACCAACCGTAAACTGAGAGATATAAAGGGGTGATAAATTTTGCATTTTGTGATTTTATACCTGCCATATGTCGACTTCATCGAGTTTGAAACTAAACGCGATAAGAAAAAATGGCACGACGTTTATATTCTCACTCCCACGGGATACAGCTACACTTTAGACTAGAAAATTAGACATAAAGCTTCGCCACTCTATAGTGTGAACCTTTTGTGAAACAAAGCTCACTCAGCAACAGCATGGAACTAACAGTCGAAGCTGACAAATCATTAATTCGCGTAAAAGTAGCGTAACGTGGAGAAACCATCGAGTTTATACATCATATGGTCATACGTCTAAACAACCATTGTCAGTCAGTGCGTTAATTTAACATGACTGGCAGGCAGATTAAACATAGTCATATACAATTTATTGAAATCGCAATTTACTCAGCTTACAGCATGAGAGTACATATCACTCGTTCAAGGTCTCCACGTATTACAGAGCTGAAGTGATACTTATATATTTCTAAATTGCCAATTCTAATATTGGTGCACTCCTTCCCGTGCCGCGCATGCGGCGCTGCCAGGTCTGACCAATACTGCCCTTCAACGGGAAATGATACGCTGACGGACCTGCCATAATTTAAAATTTTCATCGATCAGCCGAGAACGATCTGCTGGCATGCGCTGCAACGTTGGTCGAATCATTTACGTAAGATCGGATCATAACTTTTAACTAGACGATTATAGCCAGCTACAACTGTTTTGCGTCGAGGGAAAAGAATTTGTCATCCGCAGACTACGACTGCCTCATCAACTGGCTTTTTTATGCATTACAAGAAACCACGTTACAGCCGCATCGAGTAATAAAAAAAGCTTAGTCTATTTCACTTTGACAAGAGATTCTTTGCTTTCATGAGTGACCACTGAACGGAGTCACTGGCCCTGAGTCAAAGTAAAACGAGAGAAAATGAGAATGACGTTTTTAACAAAAATGAAGCATATTTGATTTTGGTAAGCAAAGCATCTACGTGGCCACTATTCGAGCATTCCTCAAAACAACTTGATGCATGAGAACTACTTACTGAAAGTATCCGCCAGATGCTTGGTCGCAATCTTGGTGAGATTCCTCTCCAGCACTCCTTTTTCAGTTCCTCAACATCCGCTGAACAGCTTATTGCATAATCAAAGCCAAAGTCGTAAGATTGTTCAAGGGTTACCGTTAGCCAATCTGTCCTTCTGTAGCACGTGTTCGATCTTCGCCTGACGCGCAGTTTCCAAATTCTCACACGGGCACTGACGACTATGATAAGTACGACCAGAGTCAAGTTCGGGCAGTTTTGGATAAAGCGATGCATATTGGATGTCAATCTTCTTATTCGTTGACGTCACGGCAGACTGAGGTAGTGGTTCTAAAAAATGACTGTTAAAAAACTGAACAGAATATGAAAAATGAACATGATAAATAAGACGATGAGTCATCTCACGAAGCATATTGCGTACGTAAAGGAATCAATGAAATGTTATTACCTTTCTGAATAGCCAGTCGTTGCATCGCGCGCGTGCGGCAAAGACTGCTGTTGCCGTGAGGTCGACCGTTGAGCCGATAGGCGTTGCACAGGGTCGCATGTTGCTGAAGGACCGACTGGGCGGAACTGTGGGCGGCACTTGAGTTGATCAAACAGTCCTCCGCCGCCTCGTCTACGGCCCAGGCATCGGAAACGCTGAAAGAAGCATTTTTCTAGAGTGCTAGCTAAAACACCGTAACGGAGAAGACATAAAAAGGACTTAAATACGAAAATACACACGATCCGATTGTGCGGGTTCAGAATCACAATGAAGAAAGCGATGGCAAGCCACTGCAATAATACATAACAGCAATATATGACACACGTTGTGATGGGCCATGTCAACCAACTGTAACAGCTTGTCGTGGGGGTTTGCTAGATTGAGACAAATCTTTTTAGCGTCCCAAAGCATAGCCTCATATACATACATATAAATGACAAAGCATCAGAGTCAGGCGAAAGACCAGCTGTACTTCACCAAGCACTTTCGAAACTGCAACTGGCCGTTTTATATCTTTTGCACATGGCTGGAACCCAAGTCAAGTCCAAGAGTTCGCAGCCCTCCCTCCCGGCATCATTACACACACTGAACAGCAAAATCTCGTGAATTATTGACCGCTATGACAGTTATCGTTCTATCACTGCACTGCTCATAATGGCCGCTCATGGTCATTGCCTTCCTAGAATCATTTCGCTGAACAGAACAACGAAACCAATTGACAGACATTGCAGTAAAATAAGGTAAATTCATTATTAAATCGAATGAGTTATGAATGGGAAAGTTTCAATGTAGCGTCTACGCTACGTAGAGGAGAACGACTTCATTTCTACATGTCATTATTTTACAGCTAGTGAATCTTTGATCATTTGGCTTTATCGCAAGCTTCAATTCGCTCGAAATACGGCTTCACTAGCGTCAGAGGTAACCTCGTATCAAAGCACGATCCCATATAGGACGTTTCACGCTATGGGTGCGCGCGCCTTGAATGCAAGTCCACGTTCCTTCAATCCTTCAATATTCTCTGTTCTCCGCTCTGTACCTCCAACGCTGACAAAGCAACTTGACCATCGAGTCAACTCAGCGTGTCCTTAGACGACCAAGTGAACGTTTCTGGTCAGGCAGAACCAGGCTTGTAATTCTTCTCGTTCATCGGCTCTCTCAAACGAATTAAATGACTGGCCTATCTTTCGTTTCTTCGTCGAGAATATCAGAAATCAAGAGTGTTAAACCGTCCGTTGTTGAACTGATGCGTTAGGAACGTGATCTTGGAGAAAAAGAAACTGCGCATTCTTCGCTCCATCACTCCTGGCGTGACCACCAGTTTGTTCTCCTCAGCTTTAGAAGCAGATCAACAATTAGGACCGTACGGAGGTTGAACGGAACGGTTCTTACTTTGCCCGCATGGGCAGCTCACTGTCGAGTAATATTGCTTTAACACGATTAAAGCTGATCCATACCCCTTTTCTTCTTGGTCGATTTCTCGGTCTAGCCAGATCAGCGATCCACCCGACGGTCGAAGTGTACACAGCAAAAAAGAGGAGGTAAAACGTACATTCAAATTTAAAAAATAATTAATTAACAATACCTCCTCCAATAAACGCTCAACATTACATTTAAGAAACTACAGATTAAATCAACGTACCTTTCGTTAAAACTGGCAAACTTTCTTTGGCAAACATCGACACTTCGTTCGATGGGCATCGTGGATGTAACTTGCCTTGAATCTCTAAAATAAAATGCATTTAACGGTACTTTTTAGTGTAAGATGTAAAATTAGAAAACTTTTGGCTATGCTTTGTTATACACCTGAGCTTCTACGATGTGAATTATGCCGATATTATTAATTTTTACGGTAGTTCATTTTTACGGAAAATGTAATGAAAACTTCTCTGCACTAATTATTGTAATTTTAAAATGTGT